TGCTGCCAGACTCATCCACCTTACTAACCATTCTGTATCTGCCACCCCTCTCTGCCAATCCCTCCACTGGCTTCCCGTTGCCCAACGGATAAAATTCAAAACATTAACAATAACGTATAAAGCCATTTATAACTCTGCCATAAATTACATCACCGATCTTGTCTCCAAATAACACTCAAACCGTACTCTCTGCTCCTCGCAAGACCTCCTACTCTCTAGCTCCCTTGTCTCCTCCTCCCATGCTCGTCTCCAGGACTTCTCTAGAGCTTCCCCCATCCTCTGGAACTCTCTACCTCAATTTATCAGACTTACTCTGCTTACTCTGCTCACTTTTAGGCAATCTCTGAAAACCTTTCTCTTCAGGGAAACCTATCCTGCCCTCAGCTAAAACTGGAATCTTCCACTTTTTCAACCAGTCCATCCCCCACAGTTACTACCTTTTGTACCACTAGCCCCTCCCTCCTAGATTGTAAGCTCCAAGGAGCAGGGTCCTCATATCCCTCTTGTATTGAACTGTATTGTTGCTGTATTGTCTCCCGTTATATTGTAAAGCGCTGAGCAGCAAACTGTTGGCGCTATATAAGCACTTGTAATAAATAAATAAACATGTAATAAATTAGGATTGCACCTAATAAAGAAAATAAAGAAAGAAAAGAAAGAAAGAAAGAAAGAAAAGAAAACACAGAGGGCAGGGATTTTCTTGCCCTGTTCCTCCCTTTGATGTTAACAGTGGGATTCTCATTGGATCCAGCTGAGCTACCTGGTTTAGTAACTTGTTGCAATTTGGAGTAAACCGATAGCATTATTACATTTTTGACTTTGGAGTTTACCATACTAGTGTGTTACATTAAAATGCCATGTGTAGGGTATTACAGTAGTCAGAAGGTTTTAATACTTTTATTTTAGGAATGGGCTGTTGTGTTATTTTCCCTAATGCTACAATCCTGAAAATTTTTTTTATCATCTAATTACTTCCTTTTTTCTTCATTTAACTCTTTCGCTGCCAGGCCCTGTGCTTCACTTTTAAATTCAGATGGCCAGACCATTTTTGCAATTTTTCCATTTCTTTATTTTTCCTTAGCTTCCAGAGTTTGTGAAAGACCCCACAAACCATATATTTTCTGAAAGCACATGACCAATAGAATAAAATGAAGATGCTACTGATTTATAAGGCCCTACAACATATGTGCAAATGCTTTTCTCTGAAAATACACTTAAATCATTATTAGCAGATAAAAACACAGACATTTTACAAAATTCCTGCTAAATATAAAAGCTTAACCTGTATTGAGTTAATAAATAACAAATATTTGTACAATGTAAATTGCACCTTTTTGCGAAATGGTGAAAATCAAATGTACGCAAAAAATTTAAATATCCAAATTTCTCTAAAAATCTGAAGATTTTAATTTTTCACTTAAAGCTTTCAGAGTTTGTAAAAAAAAAACACCAAACCATATATTTTCTGAAAGCACATGACCTGTAGAGTAAAAAGAATGTTCTACTGATTTTTAAATTCCTGTGAAATTTGCGCAAATGTTTATAAAAACAATAATTTCTCTAAAAATACACTAAATTATTATTAGCAGATAAAAAACACATAACATTTTACAAACTTGCTGCATTCCTACTAAATATAAAATCTTAGCCTGTGTTGGGTTAATAAATAACAAATATTTGTAAATTTTAAATTGCGCCTTTTTGCAAAATGGTGAAATCGAACATATGCAAAAATGTGAATATCCAAATTTCTCAAAAAATCTGAAGGTTTTCATTTTTCACTTACAGATTTCAGAGCTTGTAAAAGACCCCATAAACCATACATTTTCTAAAAGTTTGCATGTGTGTGGGACCCAAAGCTGCTTGCTTTTTTAATTATTAAGTTATTTTATTGTTTTTATTTTTAAACTGATGCTTTCAGTTTTTTTTTTCTTTGATCATTTTTATTGCTGTCACAAGGAATGTAAACATCCCTTATGACAGCAATAGGCATGTGACAGGTACTCTTTATGAAGGGATCTGGGGTCAATAAGACTCCAAATCCCTCCTCTGCCCTCAAAAGCATTCAAAACACCAAGATCGGTGGTGTAAATGCTTTTGATTATTTGAAAATGGCACCAATGACATCCGGATAAACCGTAAGTGATGTCAGGTCATCACTTCCAGGCTGCCGCTATGGAGACCCGGTCAAAGCTGATTCCGGCTCTGTTTGGGATTCTGATTGCTCGGGTCTCCTGGTGGGCCGGAAGAGCCCGGGCAAGCCTTGGAAGACGGTGCTGAGGGAGGGGGAAGTCCTCTCCCACTGCTTGTAATAGCAATTAAGTGGCTAATTAGCGATTCCAATTGCTATTATGAGACAACTACTGCCTCTAAAGGATGGTACCTGGGTCACTCCAGTACAATAAGTAGTTAAATGTTGCGGCCGTGATGCTTCACTGCGTGCCTGCAGCACAGTTGACCTGACTTGTAGCGAACATTACCTATTCAACCTGAGGTACGCCTCAAGGCCCTGCAACTGCGTGCAATGTACGCAGCTGCAGTGCATTTGTCAGCAAATATGGAGATAAAACAGGTAGTGAGGAGGCATCGAATCGCTTCCTAACTTCCTGTCAGCCTCTGGATTGTGAACTGAAAGCGGATCTGCCTTCAGTGGAAAGGGAGATTTGGATGCAAACTCAAATCTACCCTTACTAGGTACTTTATTTGACAAATTTTATTTTATTTTTTTTTATATTTTTTACTTTTTTGGGGGGGGAGGTTGCTCTAGAGAGACATCAGGGGTCTATGCAGACCCCTAATGTCTTTTTTTTTTTAAACAGAGAAAGAGACTGAAGACAGCCCTTTTTTCTGTAAACTGGGCTGACAGATGGGGGGGGGGCATTTTAGGGACTGGAGGAGGGAAGGAAGCAGCGGGTGGGCTGTTAAATGTCGGCGGTGGTATTGGCCGGGGGGGGGGGCATTTTAGGTGAATAGCTCTGATCAACGGCTTGTTAGCCGCTAATGAGAGCTATTGTTTTGTTCAGCAGAGTCTGCTGAACTTTTCTGCTATAAGTTCATGGTCACTCCAGTGAGCCTACAGCAGAGGAGGAATGTAGGCCTGCTGGAAGCAGTGAAGGTCCGTACGCCATATGGGCCTGGCAGTAAAAGGGTTAAACCTATAAAGTAAAATATTTGCTATAAAAAAAAAAAAAAAGCTATGCCCGATATCCTTTTTCCTACAAAAAAAGGTACTGTAATGTGTAAAGCTCCATTCACTTCTGTTAAGTCCAATGAGATGCATTGTTAAGTTAATCATTGCATGTTATGTTAAAGCAGCCCATTTATGTAATCAGAATGCCAATGCATAAAATGGACTAGAAAATGCACCTGCATGCGTTACTGTAACCTATGTGTATAAAGCCAGTCTTAGAACAGTCTACAAATGCAAAACACTCGTATATCAATTGTAACAAACAACAGTGCAGCGCTTCAAGAATTAATAAATGGATGAAGACAAAATATACATATGTAGAGTCTATGCAATATCCGCGGTATTGTCTGATGAATATACTTCCGAAGTATGTACTGCCTCGAGATAACAGCAATGCGCACTCACCAGAAACGCATGGAATATGCGCATATAGGAGTAATCATCCTGGGTGTCCGATCCGACGAAGATCGAGTGGTGGGTGTCCTATTCACGGTGGGTCATCAGAAACAACACGACAGATCCAGAGGTCCCCTTAAGGTTGGACACACTGATAGTGTAGATCCCTCTTCTGGCTGATAAGGGTACCCTTTCTGTGGGAGTAGCAGCTCCAAGAAGGAGCCCCAAAAAACAGGTGCCAGAGATAGTGTAGTATGTTCTTAAGGTGATTTTATTAGTCAGATATAGCAATAGGGCAGTATGCACATCACAGCATATGTGTAAAGGTAAAAAAACAGCATTACTGACCCCAGTAAAGATGGCCGCCGGGCCTCCTCGTGGCCGGGCCTCCTCGCCCCTGTACAGCCTCCCCTCTGATGATGTGCCTATAGCACGAAAGGCCTAAGGAGGAGCTGTGCAGAGCGTGACGTCATTTCCTACCGCCGGAGCCACGAGGAGGCCCGGCGGCCATCTTTACTGGGGTCAGTAATGCTGTTTTTTTACCTTTACACATATGCTGTGATGTGCATACTGCCCTATTGCTATGTCTGACTAATAAAATTACCTTAAGAACATACTACACTATCTCTGGCACCTGTTTTTTGGGGCTCCTTCTTGGAGCTGCTACTCCCACAGAAAGGGTACCCTTATCAGCCAGAAGAGGGATCTACACTATCAGTGTGACCAACCTTAAGGGGACCTCTGGATCTGTCGTGTTGTTTCTGATGACCCACCGTGAATAGGACGCCCACCACTCGATCTTCGTCGGATCGGACACCCGGGATGATTACTCCTATATGCGCATATTCCATGCGTTTCTGGTGAGTGCGCATTGCTGTTATCTCGAGGCAGTATATACTTCGGAAGTATATTCATCAGACAATACCGCGGATATTGCATAGACTCTACATATGTATATTTTGTCTTCATCCATTTATTAATTCTTGAAGCGCTGCACTGTTGTTTGTTACAATTGATATACGTATATTTTAAAGGTATTGTGGTTACCTGAAGTGTTCTAGCTGCTGTATACATTTGAGAGCGCTCACTACATATTACTTTTTAAATGCAAAACACTATTTGGCCAATAAATCTTTGCAGCTTACAACTGAGGGACTTTGGGAGGGTTGTTTTTAAAGCATCTTGCAGGGGCAGCTGCTGGGTGCTTAGTTCCAATTAGTCGAACAGGCAGGATTTTAGTGCAGCATACGCATTGTGTTTTCGGCCCTTCCTACCTGATGTCTAGCAAATCAATGGGTAGTTTTCTGTACTTGCAGCATCTTTAAAGATATAGAACATAAAGACAGACATAAGAGATAAGATAGATATGTACTGATTATACTTTCTTTTCTTCTTTGCTTTGACATATGCATAGCCAGGGGCGGATTGACCATTGGAGAACTTGGGCACTGCCCGAGGGCCCGGGGTCAGTAGGGGGCCCCATGAGATGTCCCTGGTACCTTTCATAGGCTTTTTTGGGTGTGGTTTGAGTGTGGGCAAGGACACAGGGGCCCCATGATCCCCTATTGCCCGGAGGCCCCATGAGTTGTCAGTCCGCCCCTGTACATAGCAGTACAATTTTATATTCTAGCTTGACAACATTGGGCTGTTGTGATTATTCCTTCTGATTATTTGCTGACTCCCCCTGCAGAGGTTTAGCAGTTTCACACAGTATTATGGAGCTCTGCCTCTCTTCTTCCCTCCCTACAACTAAAAAAGGACATTATATTTGTAGCGTTGTAGTGGGGAAAGTTGTCCAGCCTAAAAAAGGCTAATAGACAAGATCTACTTAATCCCTTCTCGCCGAGCGTACACAAATATGCAACCCAACTGGACTGGGCTTTTTTCTGTGGGGCCACATATTTGCATATCTGACTGAGAGCTCCAGGTCCTGTACTAATGATCGGGACCAGGAACTCCCGATTCCGGGTCACCTGATCGCAGTGATCAGTCACTGTGAAGCCCACCCTTGTGTTTTCTCTCTTTCAATGGAGGAGATAGATACATTGTATCTCTCTCTCGCCTTTCAGAGAGAAAAAAAAATCAGTGTGTAAAAGAAAAATAATATAAAAAGGTCAGGGTCGAGGGTCAAGGACAGGGTCAAAGGTCAGGGTCAGGTTTTTTTTTGGGCAGGATTTTAATTTGTTTTTAATTTGTATCATTGCTAGTGTCAGTAACAGTGTGTTTTAGGTAGGATATAGAAAAAAAGCAACATGACCACTATTGTTTCTGGGCTGCACTACAGGTACAAACAACAACTAACATACAAATATGTAGTATTGAAGCGATCATCAGGAGCGTGGCGTGAGGGTCTTAATATGCATCAGTTGTTAAATGTTGGTGGCCTGAGCTGTAGGAGCCAAGGCATTATCTGTTTGTTATTAAATTTACACATTTGTAACTTTACCAATTTAATTGTAATGCTGTTATCTGCTAAGGTACCCCATAATAAATAATAAGCCCATATTCACACTTCCATGCTGCTGTAATATGTTACTGCATTAGGGTGGCACCCACCCTAATACATTAAAGGCCAAGTTCACCTCCTGACTTGCTGGGAGGGCAGTGAATGCTCGCTCCCATCATTGCAAGAGTGAAAACCAATGGTGTTCACATCCTAGCAACAAATCAGAAGCCAGGTTTCTGAGGGACCCAGATGGCCTGCAGGTAAAACAACAACAAAATGCATAATAATTTTACAAAGTTGCATAGATTTGTACTATCTACTTGGGCTGCTTGACTGCATAGGCAATTTTTCAGAAAAAGGTGAACTTAGCCTTTAAGGCAAAGCATCTGTTTTGTTGCTCGCCAAAATGCACAGCAAAGCTCTTTACCATGTATTGTTTTATAGGAAAGGGGTCATGCAATTTTAGGCGCATTAGGGTGTATTAAAAGCCCATTTTGAATGGGCTTCCTTAACCACTTGAAGTCCGGACACTTTTACCCCTTTCCTGTCCAGGCCAATTTTCAGCTTTCAGCGCTGTCACACTTTGAATGACAATTGCGCGGTCATGCAACACTGTATACATATGAATTTTTTAGCATTTTTTTGAGAAAGATAAAACTTTATTTTGGTGTTATTTATTCACCACTGGGATTTTTATTTTTGTTTTGCTATATAAATGAAAAAGTCTAAAAAGTTTGAATAACAGTGTTTTTCTTATAAAATGTTGCAAATAAATAATCATTCTTCATAAATCTTGGCCAAAAATGTTTTCAGTTATCTTTTTAGCAAAAACAAAATAACCCAAATTAGTTTATAACCAAAAATTAAACTTTTTTTAAAAAAATTTTTACATTTTTTTTTATTATTATTTATGTTTTTGTTTTTTTTTTACATATTGTCACCCTAGCAGTACAGTGTCACCATAGTGACACTGTACTACTTGTGGGGGGTTATGAAGATTTTTATTTTCTTACACTGATTGCTTTTACACCCATAAAGGCTGTAAAAGCAATAATTTCTCCTTCTCTCTGGCTGCATTCTGGCAGCCATTGAGAAATACTGTGAGTTGTGATTAGTCACAGCTTATCACATGGTACAAGGCTGTTGTGAATAGCCTTGTACCTTGTGACCTCTGTGATCATTCACAGATTTCACACGTAGTAAGCAATGATGTCAGAAATGACATCTTGCTTACTACTCTGCATGTGGTCTCTGATTGGCCAATCAGGGTTCACATGATCGGGACCTCACACAGAAGTCCCGTACAACAACGATCGGTCACAGACACAGTGGGCACTGGATCGTGGTGTTGGGCGCTCCCAGGGAGTGCCCACAAGCAGGGGGCGGGGAGACTGTTTATAATTGGCCACCCACCCCTGCACTGCTCCCGTCCGGCCCTTTATATACATGGGCCGGACGGGAAGTGGTTAGCACAACTTACGTTAACATCCAACATAGTTCAACTCATGTTAACACACATCACCAAAAAGTAAATGGGCCTTGATGCCTTTTCAGCCAATAAACATAATATTGTAAGTCAAGTTTATTATGTGCTACTCATTGCATTGTGTGTCATCCAATACTATTTATTGATCATTTTGCACATACATGGTAAATTTACCAGCATACTGAATTGTGCTATATTCTTGCAAAGCTAGTATGAATATATCTTTCAGCCTTTTCTAATCCATATAAAATGTCACTGCTAGTTTAAGGGTACATCCACATTAGACAGAAAATAATCTTTGCGGTATTTTCTTTCCGTCTCCACTGATCCATTGATATCACTTCTGTCTCCGTGGACAGCGGAGGCAGCACTGTATAAAGATCAATAGGTCTCTTTATGTTGCGCTATTTTACCATGTTACAGAATTGTGCTCTTTATGGAATGCAGAAAAAAGCTGATGTGTGGATGACATGCATGGACAACTAACAAGCAAACACTCTTGAAAGAATAAATGGCTTACCAATTAAACTTCACATCAGGTAGTCAAAAATACAAGCTTTCATGGCACGTAGAAAAGTAAAAATCATTGTTATGTGTGGACATTTTTTTAGTGCATAGATGTGCCTAACTATTATTAAATATTAACCTTTAGAAAAAAAACAAGCAAAAAATACTGGAAAAAAAAAAAGAAAAAACAATACATGTACCGTTATGGATGACATTCAGAGCCCACGTTTTTCAAACAATGCAGTTTAAATGGATGATACAAACTGATCACTGAACCCAAAAGCAAAGATGTAACATATTGCAGCTTACCAGTTCTTAGATCTAGCGGTTGCATCATTTTCTTTTTTTTTTCAGACTTTCTTTATTTTTCCCTGATAATCCTGTAAACAACACACTTCCTGTCCAAGTGCCACTGACAGAATGACATCAAAAGACATGCCCTGACATCCACCTGTCAGCAGCGCTTGCTTGCAGTCAGAGTGTTTGGCTGGAGCTGCTGCATAGATTCCTAGGTGGCTTATACTTTAGTGTTGGGAGAGACACTGTTTTACATTTGAGTTCAATGGATTGTTTTGTAATTGTAATTTAAATAAAATGGTTTTACACTATGGGGGTTCTTTGTTCTTAACTTTCCCTCTATATCCTCTGATTATTAAATCAATTCTGGGATTGTTATAGGAGAGCACATCCTCTGAAAAAAAGCCAATTACTAGGTATGTGACAAATCGAGGATGACCCAAATTATACAGGGTCATTGCCTCTGGTGAGTTGTTAAAGTGGATGGTAGAGGATTCAAAGAGTGGCTGGATGCTTTTGTGCACTTTGAATGGTATGTGAAAGATGATCTTTGTCAGTGAAAAGTGTTTTTGCACTTGTGAACTATAAGCACTGGACACCTTGTTTTGGCACTTATATATTTGAGCACTAGACATTTTGGAAGAGATTTACTAAACTGGTGCACACAGAATCTAGAGCAGCGGTGCATAGTAACCAATCAGCTCCTAACTTCAGATTGTTTTTTTAAGCTTTGACAATAAAACCTAGAAGCTGATTGGTTACTATGCACAGCTGCCCCGGATTCTGTGTGCACCAAATTTAGTACATCTCCCTCTTTGTATTTTATGTTGCACTGGAACACTGGGCACTTTTTGCATATTGAGAATTTCACAACTCCGGTCACTCTTTCGGCACTAATGTCTTTTAATACTTTTATGTGTTTTTGCACATAAATCACATTGATAGATTTTTGATGATACATACTGATAGTTTGTTAATTAGTAGTTTTTATTCATTTTTATGATAGCATAATTATATATCCTTTTTACATTTAATATTAATAATATTGGATGATATTCTTTAAGGCAGCAGTTGCGCCTTTAAGACATTTCATATCCTGTGGTGCAGACATACATTCTCTTATTTATTTTAGATACCTAAATAGTGCTGTCAATTTACGCAGTGCTTTACATATATATATTGTACAGTCACATCAGTCCCTAACCCTCAAGGGGTGTACAATCTAAGGTCCCTAACTTACATTCATACATACATACACATACTAGGGCCAATTTAGACAGGATCCAATTAACCTACCAGCATGTCTTTGGAGTGTGGGAGGAAACCGGAGTACCCAGGGGAAACCCACACAGGTACAGGGAGAACATGCAACCTCCAGACAGGTGGTGCCAAGGTTGGGATTTAAACCAACGACCTTAGTACTGCCAGGTGGATGTGTTAACCATTTAGCCACTGATTCTCTTGACACCACATTCTTGTCAAGATCAAGCTGTGTTTTCTCTACTTGCTAAAAATTCTTTAAAATGAAAACTGATCCAATTACCACTTCTAAAGACTGATAAGCAAAAATATATTATTTATTTTTTTTATTTTTGGGTTTACTTCAAATGTACGTGACCATTCAGGGCCCAGAAAATAAACTTTGATACAGGTTGGGATGTTTTTTCATTTCCCATTTGAAAAACAAATTAAGCATGATCTGTGGCAATAAATGGGCTATTCACAATCTTATTTATGGAGTATGAATAAAATCTATCAAGACATAGAAATACAAGGTATCCAACTGCACAGTTGTAATGCACTGTAAGTATGACATATATTACAAAATATTCTGTTGCACAAAAGAAAAAGCTCTAAGGAATAATATCCCCAGTAAACATATTTATCATCAGGTCTATTTTTTTTACTTGTAGAGAATATGGCAAAGTTAGCTTTGTATAGGATAGAGAATAGTTAACCTCCCTTGTCAGTCTATGTTTTGCTTCCTGTGTGCCATTGGGAAGAGTTTACTTCCTGTTCAAAAGACAAAGCAGGAAGTGCAAGGAAACCTCTACAATGTTAGGAGAATCCCTATCTTAGTCAAATGCCAATGGAGCATGTGTAGGGAGATTTCTCCTCACCTCTTGTTCTGATGACAGCTCTGAAGTTTTGGATTTTCTCTCACTTTGCATATACTGCATGTCCAAAAAATTCAGTGGAAGCCCACAGGGCATGCGTAGCACACCATGTCCTTCTCCCCACTTGCCGCACACCCTGAGCATTTGTTGGCAATGCCCATAAGTTAAAATCTTAGCTTTTAAGATGACCTATTAAAGGGGCAGATGTATGCACTTTGTTCTATTCACCTGTAGATCAAAGTGATGAGCTTCAATTTGCATATATTATCAGTTAAAGGATAAGTTCACCTTTTAAAAAAAAAAAAGCTACGTGCAGGTAAACAAGTGTGCATTTATTATTTATTTTACTTGGAGCCTAGAAAGCATTGCACGCACGATCAGCAGATCGGGGGTGCCATGCAGGACTTCTTCAGACTTGTCAGTGTATCTGTGTGCTCGTACCGTATACTGGCAGGCAGATACACACTGACAGAGACAATGAACTACCACAGCGATCAACAGCGCCGTGGCAGTACATTGAGAATTGTACGCTGATAGCCGCAAAAGTTTCCTGTACTTCAGAATTCTGTGAATGAATGACGCGGCCGGGCGTGCAGAGTGTTTTTCATAAAAATAGTGAGAGAAGATCCTCCGATAGCTGTCACTCGATGCAGCGATTCCGGCAGTGGGTACATGTTACATGTTCCACCCAAAAAAATTGCGGAGCGTATAACATGTTCCCAAAGGTGAACCTATTTTTTAAAGCAACCTGATAAGTATTTTTTTTTAAATTTGTTCCTGTTTAACTCTACCCTAATCTGCCCTTTTTAACTACGTCTTCCCCTTTTCCATTTGGCTATTATTTTCATGCGTTTTTTCTAATTAATATTATTTCAACTTTTTTCATTATTATTCATTTTGTTGGTTCATTTTGTAATGTCACATTAAAAAAAAACACATATTTGAAAAATATCTTTTATTTCATGTACAAATAACCTTGCAAAGACAATTTTAGTGCCATGTAAAAAGGACAACTTATTAAAAAAATACTTTTATCTATAGCAACACTATTTTTTTGGGCACAATAATTTTTATTGAAACTTGAAAGGAATTACAGTGCAAGAGTTACACATGCAGGGGGTCTTGTAGAGTCAAATATAGGAAAAAATGTGCTTATACATTCAAACCGCAACTGTCTAAAAAGGTGGGTGCATGTGTAACACCCCCTGTGTATATAGTGTAGATAGTGTAGGTACATTTAGTTAGGCTGCACTGGCTGCAGGGTTAATTGGTTTTGTTGATAATTAGATGTTAGGGTTTAAGGGCTGAGTCTCTGTCGCCTCCCCCTGGCTTCTGGAATCTTCCTGAAGGTTCTGGAACTTAGAGGGCGGAGGAATAGAGACAAAAGCCTGAATATATATGGGATCTCTACCATAGGATGCTGCAGAAGGTGGAGAAATGGCCCTTAAATATTCTGGAGCCTGGCTATGTAAGAGAGTCCAGCATCCAAGTGCCTGGAAGAGGTCTGTGTGCTGGAGGGCTCTGCCTCCAGACAGGAAGGTGTCAGAGAGGAAGTGTGCTGAGACAGAGAGAAGAAGTAGAGAAAGGAACTCACCACCTTAAGCCTCGGTTGGGCTTGGTTGAGACACCCTGGGAGCATGTGGGACCTGTTCAGCGGGAGGCCTGTGCAGAGGTTGCCACATATGCTGCAGGACTTGCAATGGAGTGAGTAACCCCTACTTATCAGCAAATGTCAGATAGCAGCAAGTGCTCAGCAGGTGCGGTCGGGTATGCAGGCATCTTCTTTTTTTTGTCAAGTGGGCGTTGTCGTGAAAACGCTGGACACCGTGATTGACGATAGATTACAACGATGAAAACAATTTTTTGCCTTTTTTTTAAATAAAGGACTTGTCAAAAACGGTTGTTGTGTTTCTATTCCCATTTTACACTTTTTTGGTGAATGGGTAGCGGTACTATATATCCCATACTCACTCACAAGTGGGGAGAGCTGGGAGAGCTGGGATCTGAGGCCTCTTTGTTAAAGGGGGGTACCAGATTTCAATAAGTCACCCCCGCATACCCTCACAAGCACAGCCCAGGGTTGTGGAGAAGAGGCCCTTGTCCCCATCAACATGGGGACAAGATGCTTTGGGGGGAGCCCCCCTACCCCAAAGCACCCCCATGTTGAGGGCAGGTGGCCTTGTATTGCTCACTCATCCCCCCCCTTTCCTGGCCTGCCAGGCCTGTGCTTGGATCAAGGATCTGAAAGTAATTTAGGGAGGAACCTCATTCTTTCCCCCATTTTTGGGGGTTGGGGTTCCCCTCAAAAGTCCTACCAGGCCTAAAGGGTCTGGTATGGATTAGGGGGGAGCCCATGCTGTTTTTGGTTGCTTTTTTTAAATAAAATGTAATTTAACCACTTGCCCTCCAGAGTATTTATATCCCTTCCTGACCAAGCCATTTTTTGCAGTGTTGCATTACTTTAACTGACAATTTGCGTAGTCATGCAACACTGCACCCAAATGAAATTTTATGTCCTTTTTTCCCCCACAAATAGAGCTTTCTTTTGGCGGTATTTGATCATCCCTGCATTTTTTATTTTTTTTTTTTACTGGTACGCTATAAAAAAAAAGTCCAAACAATTTTGAGAAAAAAAACTATGTCCGTTAAAAAAATTGAAAAAATCAAATCTCAACATAAATTTAGGCCAAAATGTATTCTGCTACATGTCTTTGCAAAAGAAAAATCCCAATACGTGTAAATGTAAGTTATAGCGTCTACAAATGGAGGTATAGATACTGGAATTTTTTTTTCTTTTTTTATACTGGTAATGACGGCGATCAGCGACTTATAGCAGGACTGCAGTGGGCATTCTAACACTGGGGGGGGGGGTACTGACTAACTGTTAATCAAATTCATAATTCGGCACTTATATTGATAGCAAGCTTGCAAAATATTTGTTTTTTTATGATTAATCATAAATAATATTAAAATGTGTGATTGGCCTTGAACAAAGTGACAGTGTTGAATTCTTCAGTCATAGCTGAGACATAAAAATGTATTTGGAGTTAAGCTACCTAGTTGGAACATGAATATTCTATAGAAGAGGCATAGCTGGTTAAAAGAATGTCATGGGAGTGAACCAAAATAGAATTAGTATGAAATAATATATATTCTAATAGTATCTGTGTGTATTTAATTTATGTTTTATAAGTTGGTAATATGTGTTACATTAGTAGATTTTTGGTTATACATCATTATTGAGATATTATGTTGTAAAGATAGATTCTTAGTTTATATTATCATTTAAACAGAGAAACTTGTCACATGAGCAGGCTGATGCAACATTGCCAGCTTATAGAGCCAATACATATGGGCTTGTCAATCAAAAGACCATATATGTAGTATTCCGTCCCTTCAATGAAATTTGCTCTGCTAAGCAGTATTGTTTTGTTCCATACAAGGTTCTAAGATCACAAATTATGACGCATGCATGTATCATAAAAAGACATCTTAAGAGATGCAAAGGGGCTTTACACACACACACACTCACACACACACACAAGCATGGCATGAAGACACTATGGTTATTCACAGAACTGACAGACTGGAACAGGTGCATACTCTAAGAGACCTAAAAGCACGTCGCTTCCTTCTTCTTGCTAAAACTCAAGCTGCTTTGAAAAAAGACAAGAAGCACATGGGAAAACAGTCATGAAAATAAGGGTGACATATCTCTACAACTTCTGTTTTGATATTTCTGTTTTGCCTACACGGAACTGTTATTCATGATACATTTTACATTGTTATTTTAAGCCATTGTGTGATACAATAAAAATCACACTTTATTTTTTACTTTGTTGGCTCTTTAATTATTCCAAAATCTCCTATAGACACTAAAGAATTATTATATGTGTCTCAGAAAATTCTACACTAACTGTCACTGACATCCCCAGTGACACCAATACAGTGATCAGTGCTAATAAAAAGCACCGACACTGTAGTAATGACACTGGGCAGGAAGGGGTTAACATCTGGGGCGATCAAACGGTTAACTGTGTGCTGTGTTGTGTTTTACTGTGTAAGCACATTGCTTTGTATTGCTCTGCTATGCAGAGATCTGTATTGTTAAACATACAGGTCTGTAATGTATACATACAGGTCCCTCCCCCATCTGTGATATACGGCGTTCACCGGGTGCTGGCAAGGGATCATCTGCCAGAACCCGGTGATCGACAGGTGAGGCCGCCAATGGCAATGTGGGCAGGGTGCGCGCGTGGCTCGCATGCGTCCCTACCTGGAAATGCACAGAAAAAAAAAAAGCGGTTAAAAAAATAAAATGTTAGTCCTGCTGAAGCAGGTTTTATACATTGTACAGATGTGCAACTTTTCAGGTAGTTTAATGGGACGGCATGATATTTAAAGGAATTTTTCATTATTATTTTTTTTTACGTTAAACAATGAAAAACGACTGCTCTTTAAAAAATGGTACTTTAAAATTTTTGTTTTCACTGATTCGTGTCTCTCAGGGCAGTGCCCAAGCCCCCATACCGCTAACTTGCATATAAGCCTTCAAAATTGGCGCTTTTGAATTTACAAGTTTGAGTCCCATAGACTTGCATGATGTTCTAAGTTCATAATCCACACCAGACCCAACGGGCTTGGTAAGGATGGTGGGGACCCTATGCTATTTTTTTTCTTAATTTTTTAATCACCGCCAATTCTCTTTTTTATTCAGCGGTCAGTGGAGAACCCCGCTGACAGCTGGTGACACGGCCTGCTCCTTAACAACCAGTACATGCAGCATGTCTCGACCACTGCTTAATTACCTTTCATTATTTAATTCCTTCTGTGAATTGACTTTAAGATCTTTTTATGTGGTATTTACTGAACGTTTTTGCAATTAGCGGTAAATACCACAAACTAGCAATTGTGAATTGACATTTTCAGTATCACCTGACCAACATAACACAGGTGATAACCTTTGGTGACTTTTCCACAGTATAAAAAAAAAAAAGGAAATCCTTGTTAGTCCTAATATAAAAGATACTACTTTAATACTACTAAGATATTACTTTGTTACCTTCAGTAACAACAAAGTTATTGCCTAAAAACAGGCCTATAGCAGAAATGCAAAAATTGCTTGGGTCCATAGTGAGTGCACAGGTGTGAGAGCTGAAATGGTTAATATTTTGTTGTATTTAGATTACATATATAATACGATATATAATATAAGACTATAATATGTATCTGCATTATAGGGTTAATCAAAAAAGCGATGCAGTCACCCATGACAACCAATAGATTTTTATCAAACTATTGTCAGGCCAGTCACAAGAAGATTTTTAGATTTGTTGAATAAGTTTGTGCTTTTTGTACATCATCATTTCTCTTTAAACTCCGTTATTGTCTAAAACCTTAGTATCATCAATGCCCATGTATCTTGTACTGTCATAATGATAAATCATCAAGAACTTTACTAATCATTAATACAAATCAGAAAAGATAACATTCCAAAATGATATACTTACAAAGTATATGCATTGGACTTTCTATGTCTATGTTCATTTTGAAAAATTATTCATAGCAAATAGGGTTTAACTGTATTTGCTTTGAAAACCCAACAATGTGACCTGGATTTTAGCTAGCACACAATTTGATTGAAGTTTGATTGAAGTGAACACAGTTTCATTTTATTTCCTAAGCTCAGTGAACATTCAATTTACTAAATGAAGAGTATACTTATTCTTTAGAAATTTAACCCTAGTGAATCATAAGGATATCAGAATGCATTAACCCTGATCTACCCTTTTGTTTCTTAAATACTTTGAAAGTATAGCAGGTAAATCACGGCAACTTCCTTTTGCATTCCTTTCCTCATTTTTTTTCCTCATATTTTCATTGTGTAGTATATTTTTACAGTTCAGCACTACAAGATGTGCTTCACATGAAGTCTAAAGGCAGCACATTCTCTGTGAAATAGCCTCTTTACGATCTCATTTTTGAATAAATACACTTTAAAGTTTCTCTTGTATCTATTAATAAAATCCTTTTTACTTCTGCAGGATTTCATGCTTGGATTATCCCTGTCACCTTTGTAGCTTATCTCATTTCTCTATGCTACTCTGCTCTAACTCCTGCACTCCATACTAAATCTGCTTTTATTACACACAGAGGAAATAGCTGCTTAGCTGCCAGGTGACATTGACTTCAATATACAGTTCTTTCTTGGGTTAACTTGCATCTCTTTATATGCTGACTTTTATTTTGTAACCCAAACTACAGTGGAAAACTGGGTAGCACAGACATTTTCTGCAGGACAGTCTTCTTTAGTGATCCCCATTCAATGGACATATTCAACCCTCATCAAAATTTTTAGAATCCATTAACATTTGTCTATTTGAAAATGTTTGGTGTGGTGAAAGACATATTTTCAGACAACTCCAACTACATTAAAGTGGCTTTTTAAGATTCTCTGGGCCTCACGTTTAGAGGTTGCTGGGGAAGATGGTGATGCCCTAGATGTGGGCCCCAGTATGCTAATTTCTCTCTGAACATTGTACAGTGGTGCAGTCAGCACTGTAGGTAGGAATATGTGAAGTCTATACTTAGAAACCATGTGTATGTAAATCTTTCCTCTCATTTGTTGAGGAAAACCTTAAGGTTTCCCATTTTAATGTGTTAGGGTCCCATACATGGTTATATACAATGGGTATTTTTAGACACGGAGCAACAAGGTGTGCCAGCTGTAGATATCTGGGTGATCCACACATTATCACCGCATGCTCAAATGGTTATTCTACCAACAATAAACAATAAACTAAGTTTGTAGTATACCTTGTAACATGTACCACATGCAACATTCAGTACATGAATAGGACCACAAGAAGATTATATGATAGAATGCGTGATCATAATTCCAACATTAAAGTGCTTGTAAATGCTGAAGGTTTTTTAACCTTCATGCATTCTATGTATGAAGATAAAAAACCTTCTGTGTGCAGCAGTGCCCCCAGCCCCCTCAATACTTACTTGAGCCTCATCACGATCCAACAATGTTAATGACAGCCTCAGCTATTCCCGGGGGTCTCTGCCTCCTCATTGCCTGAGACAGCAATTGGGAGCCATCGGCTCCCACTGCTGTCAATCACAGCCAATCAGCCAATGAGGAGAGAGGGTGTGTGGGCCAAACCACAGCTTTGTGTGTCAATGGACACATGGAGCAGCAGGCACCCGACAGACATGAGGAGCCAAGGGAGCCTGGAGGAGACCCAGAGAAGAGGAGGATACAGGCTGCTCTGTGCAAAAACACTGCACACAGTAAGTAAGTATAGCCATGTTTGTTATGTTACAAAAAAAATTTACTTTTAATCGCTTTAACTCAGACAAGGACTGTAACTTGGCAAGACATTTCAGAAATTCTCACAGCTCCAGTATTCAGTCTCTCAACATTCAAATTGTTGAAATAATCAAATATCCTCTCAGAGGTGGTGATAGATTTTTGCTTCTGTGCAAAAGGAAGGTTTACTGGATATTTAAACTTGACACCTGCAACCCTAAATGAGGTATTACCTATTATTATCAAATAACCTCTGCACCCCCTTCCCTTTTCTATCCCCCTTTTTCTCCCCCCTATATTCTTCCTTCCTCCCCCCCCCCCCTTGTTTTTCTTCCTTTTTCATTTTTTTCTATCCTTCATTCAATACTTTTAAATTCTTCACCTCTTTTTGTTCCCCCTGTACAGTCCCGACTAATTTCATTGAGCTTGTTTGGAAGAAGTTCCCTATATTCATGTCTTTTATTCCTTTCTTATGCTTTTTTTTTTGGGGGGGGGGGTTAATAAGTAATGCCATTAAACATAGATTCTTTTAAAATGGGCTTTTTTGCGGTTCTGTAGAGGGTATCCTTTGCTGTCCCTAACCTTCTATTTATTTTTGGCTGTTCTTTGTCTCTATTTTCATGCTTAAGTTTATTTTTTTTTTTATATAGGGAATTCTTTAAATTTTCCAATGTACTGATGTATAGCACAAAATGGCCTCACATTGTGCACCAGGGCAGATCCGATCATTCTCTCTTAACCGCTTGCCGTCCTGCCACTGTGTATATACGTGTGCAGGGCGGCAGTGGAGCGCAAAAGCACGTTTTAAAACGTGCTCCGCGCTCCCGACACATTCGCGGGTAGGGGGCGCGCGCGTGCGCTCCCGCCGACCCGCGGGTGTGACACGATTCGATCCAGGAGGGATCAATCATTAGATTTCAGCCAGTGATTTCTGGCTGAAATTACATGATCGGTCCCTGTCCTATCCTGTCCTGTGTTGACATTTACACAGGGCAGGATATGATGTCATTCTTCTCTGCCTGGACACATTCCGTTCCAGACAGAGAAGAAGACATATAAACAGTGAGTAAAACACTACATACATACTGACAGTTAGAACACTCTAGGTCACATTTAACCCCCTGATCGCCCCCCCCCAGTTAACCCCTTCACTGCCCTGTCACCAGTGTCACTGATCAGTGAAGCGAATTTTACTGATCACTGTATCAGTGTCGCTGGCGACTTCCGATAGAGTTAGCGCCCCTCCCAGATAGCACCAGTTTGCCCGCTAATACACCAGTAGTCCCGTCTAACCCCTTGATTGCCCCCCCCCCCCAGTTAACCCCTTCACTGCCCTGTCACCAGTGTCACTGATCAGTGAACTGATTTTTACTGATCACTGTATCAGTGTCGCTGGCGACTTCCGATAGTGTTAGCGCCCCTCCCAGATAGCGCCAGATTGCCCGCCAGTACACCAGTAATCCCGTTTAACCCCTTGATCACCCTCCCCCCAGTTAACCCCTTCACTGCCCTGTCACCAGTGTCACTGATCAGTGAACCAATTTTTACTGATCACTGTATCAGTGTTGCTGGCGATTAAACCCTTAATCTCCCCCCCCCCCAGTTAACCCCTTCACTGCCTGTGGCGGAACCATTCCGCCTGGGCTACTTCGTGCGGAGCTATGTGTCACACCCAATGGTCCTCTTTTCCAGCAAGTCTTCCAGCACTCTCCCAAGGCAGATATTATAGCTAAAAAACCCTCCCTTTTGCTCTACCCAAAACCACGAGTCGGAACT